TTGCGCGTGTTCAACAATACTGTTCTAATGTGTGGGAGAAAATATGTAACAAGCTGATTGTTAAAAATATTTAGAAAAACTATTATTTTTTGAAAATTAAAATACAATAAATAATTATATTTTCAATCAAAAATATGAAAGCTGATTCATAATTATCTTTTGAAGAATTTGATTCTTGATCTTTTCTTTTTTCTCAAGCAAAATCTTATTTTTAAAGGTGTATTTTTACATTAACAAAATTGTTGCCTGGTATGATCTAAGGTGAGGACAATAGACTCTCAATCTACAGGTCGTGGATTCGAATCCCTTCACTAGACATGCTCGCTCTTTCAGCTTTGGGGGCGTTTTAATGTGACGGCCAATCCCGCTATTCGTTGTTAAAATTGACTGTGGGTGGTGTTGACTAGTCACATTTCCTCTAGTCTATTACTTCAAAATTAGGAACGGTTAATGCTTGTTTGTTTGTAATTAAGCACAAAGCTACACAATGGGCTATCTGTGCTCTGCCCACCACGGGTATCGAAACCCGGATTCTAGCGTTGTAAGTCCGCAGACATACCGCTGTGCCACTGGGGGGCACGGTTAATGCAGATATCCCTCGTGTAGCTTTGCTTGAAATTTAACAAACAAATAAAGCTAACTGATATCAAATTAAGACCTGTTTATTGAATATGCAAATACGTGCAAATAAAACAAAGTAGATGATTTGGGGTGAGAATAAACAAGATTTTCAGGATAATGTTATAATTAATATATTGTGTGTTTTGTTTGTTTTTAAGTTAAACACAAAGCTACACATTGGGCTATCTGTACTCTCTATCGAAACCCGGTTTCTAGCGTTGTAAATGTTATAATTAATTTATTGTGTGTTTTGTTTGTTTTTAAGTTAAGCACAAAGCTACACATTGGGCTTTAAAAACAAACAAAACACACAATATATTAATTATAATAATAACAACGCTAGAAACCGGGTTTCGATAGAGACTACAGATGTTAAGCACAAAGCTACATCTGTACTCTGTATCGAAACCCGGTTAACTAACTATTAAAGACAATAAATGTATATATATTTCACTTATATTTTTGAAAGTCCATCAGATATTTTTTAACACTTGGTTATCACCGTATTTTAACAATCAATAGAAAACAACCTGTTCGGATATACCATATACAACTAAATATGTCGTTTTTCTGGCATCTCACTAACTTAATTCGTGTTATTAATCATCAACCTAATTCTGATATCCGATCTGGTTTGTTTGTTATGGTTTTCGCGATAAGCTACACGAGGGCTATCTGCGCTAGCCGGCCCTAATTTAGCAATGCAAGACTAGAGGGAAGACAGCTAGTCATCACCACCCACCGCCAACTCATGGGCTACTCTTTTATCAACGAATAGTGGGATTGACCGTCACATTATAACGCCCCCGCGGCTGAAAGGGCGAGAATGTTTGGTGTGACGGGGATTCGAACCCACGATCCACAGATTGCATCCGACATAGCATGACCTGGTAGTTAGGGCACTCGGCTTGCAATCTGTGGGTCGCGGGTTCGAATACATGCTCAACTTTTCAGCCGTGGGGGCGTTATATAGTAGTGGTCAATCCCATTATTCGTTGGTAAAGAGTAGCATAAGATTTGGCGGTAGGTGATTTTGACTAGCTGCCTTTCTCTTTAGTCTATTACTTCAAAATTAGGGACGGATAGCGTCGATAGCTCTCGAATGGAGTTGAGTGACATTCAAAACAAATAAACAATTCTGATTTGTAAATGACTCGTATTAAAATAATAAAAAACTATACATCATCAACTTATTCTATTTCACACCACGACAATAATTGTTCATGCGATTTGTGAACAGCGTTTCTACCCCTATTGTATTTGTCGTATACCAGCTTGTCTGATAAGCCATGGTGTCGGACGCAAGGCCTCCTGGGAGCTGGATGTACCAGATATAGTGTGATTGACATGTTGTAATACATTCTTTTGTTTTGTTTTGTAAGTTAAGTCACAAAGCTTCTACAATGGGCTAACTGTTGCTCTGCCCA